CCCCCCAGCACCCAGCACCCAGGCGCTGGCCCCCAGCCCCGCGCATTCTCCCGCACGACACCTCCTCGCGCTGCCCCGGGGGTCGCTGCTCGTTGCCGGCGGCCCCGCAGCTCCCGGGCACCGGGCTCTGGCTGCCTCCGCGGCTGGCAGCGCACGCGGGCTCCGAGCTGGCTGCGAAGTAACTTCAGCCGGGGGGGCTGCGAGCTGGAGCAGCCGGAGTGAGCCCCAAGCTAGCAAAGCCCCCCTCCTGCAGCATCGCTGGCCCGGCCCCCCCCCCATGCCCATCCTCATCCCCTTCCCTGGACCCTGCCCTTGGCAAGGGCAGGTGGGCACAGGGAGCTGGCACCTCCCAGATGGTTGCAGTTTTGGTGCCAGGTGCCAGCCCCTCTTCCCTGCTGGCGGAGGCTGCACCATGGCAAGGCTCCCGGTGGTTGCTAAGGGTGCCCGGCTTCGGGGAGGGGGTGGAAAAGGCTCTTGCCCGGTTTGCACGCTGGTGTTACGCGCACACGGTGATAGCTGGCTGGCTGTGCAAAGCACTGCACGGCAGCCAGGCCCTTCCCAGAGGGGCGTCCAGGATGCAGGGAGCAGCAGTTTCCTGGCCCCCCAGGAGCTCTGGCAGGGCGAGGTGGCAGGGATGCACATCAGCGGCCGCACTGGGGCTGGGAGCCCCCAAAGCCACGGGCCGGGGTGTGTGCTGTTGCAGGCGGAGCCTGGAAGGCCCTGATCCCCCGCCCCGCTGCGCCCTGCTGCAGGCAGTGTCTGTGCGCTGGAATTTGTCTGCCCGGTATGATCAAACTCAGATGTCGCCAGTCCCCTGCAGCCAGCAACTGCTCTCCTGCAGCTGGCGGTGGAGCTGGGTCTCTGGACAGCCCTGGCATGGCTGAAGCCTTCATCCGGCGCTGCCAGTGCCATGTAGGGATCAGGCGGGACAGACCTGCTTTCTGTGGAGGGGACTCTGAACAGCGCCAGGCCTGGCGCGGGGTCAGACTTCCCCCCAAGCGAGGCAGAGGCTGCAGCGACTTGCGTGTGAGGCGGGGTGAGCCTGGCCAGGGTGGGGGAGGCGAAATTGGTCTGGAAAGGATCCAGGTTGGGGAACAGACTCCTGCCCGTCATCGGGAGATGCAGGGGATGCTGCGCTGCGGGGTTGGAAAGCAACCGTCTTGCGGAGAGCATGTGGCGCCTGTATTATACATGAATGCACATGCACAGGGCCTGCATTCCACGTGAATGCTCACACGCACGCACAATGTCTGGATTGTACATGCACACACATGCCCATACACACACTGCCTATACAGTATTGCACATGCGCACACAGGCACACACGTGCGCACCCACACACACTGCCTGTATTATACATAAATGCACATGCACAGGGCCTGCATTCCACGTGAATGCTCACACGCACGCACAATGTCTGGATTGTACATGCACACACATGCCCATACACACACTGCCTATACAGTATTGCACATGCGCACACAGGCACACACGTGCGCACCCACACACACTGCCTGTATTATACATAAATGCACATGCACAGGGCCTGCATTCCACGTGAATGCTCACACGCACGCACAATGTCTGGATTGTACATGCACACACATGCCCATACACACACTGCCTATACAGTATTGCACATGCGCACACAGGCACACACGTGCGCACCCACACACACTGCCTGTATTATACATAAATGCACATGCACAGGGCCTGCATTCCACGTGAATGCTCACACGCACGCACAATGTCTGGATTGTACATGCACACACATGCCCATACACACACTGCCTATACAGTATTGCACATGCGCACACAGGCACACACGTGCGCACCCACACACACTGCCTGTATTGCACATGAACCCACATGCACACACGTGCGCACACACACACACTGCCTGTATTATACATGATGGCATACACACGCACACACCCAGTGTTTGTATTATACCCGCACACACACACATGCACAATGCCTGTATTATACATGAATACACACACACACACTGCATTTATTATATGCACGCACACACACAACAGCTACATCCTGGTGGATTGTGGTCCGGGAGCTGTTCCACGTGCGTTGCTCTAGCAGGGGGTGTGGGGAGCTGGAGGCAGGGACGGTGGGGTGAGTCCAAGGGTAAGTGCCTGGTGTCGCCCTCTCTGCTGGCCCCGGGACAGAGCCAGCGCTGTAGGCAGCTGTGGGATGGCAGCCCGGGCCCTCCAGGAGAGGCAGAACAGAGGAAGGATGGTCTAGTGCTACGGGCAGGGATCAGAGCTTTGGGAGACACGGGTTCGAGTCTCTGCTTTGCTACCTGTGTCTTGTGTGACCTTGGGCAAGTCCCTTAGCCTCTCAACTTCGGTCCCTGTCTGAGCAACGGAGTCTTAGACAGAGAGCAAGAATGAAGGATGCCCGCATGCACGCGGGGCTTTGTGCCAGGTTCCCGGCTGTTCTCAGGCCTGGGGCTGGTCAGATTCGGGTGTGGGTGCCCCTTGCCCAGCAGCTGGGCCGAGCTGTGGGCAGTGGGTGATGTGGTGCTAAGGGCGTCTGCTCCCGTCTCCACCTCCGTGCTGATGCTCCCCATCCTGAGCTGGGCCCTGGCAGAGGGCCTCTGCACAGGTCCCTTCATTAAAAGGCTCCTAATGAGGGGATCTCTAACATTGCTCCTGTTGCAGGGAGGTCTTTGGGGAGGCAGTAGCAGGATCGGGGCCTCGCCTGGCTGGCGGCAGGCTCAGGCCGTTGGGTGAGGACACTGCAGGGCTCTGTCTTGGGGTTCTCCAGGGTTTCCCTCTTCCCTGTGACCTCCCTCCCCGGCCCTCGTCTCACGTGTGACGCCAGCACCCCACCCCGGCTGCTCCCCGTGCTGAGGTCGCCCTGGCCGCCCGTCCGTCCGTCCGTCCATCCGGGCCTGGAGGAAATGGGCAGGCCAGCGTTCTGCCTCTCGCAGGGACGGCACGGCTGGCCGGGATTCCTGCAGCGCTCGCGGCCGGGGATGGGCTGTGAAGATGGGCGGCCTCCAGGACAGCGTGAGCACGAGCCCCTTTCTCTCGGGATCGCTTCTGTCCCTGAGCCCCCTGACCCTCTCCCCTCCTCATGCTCCTCCCTGCTGGGCTTCTTCTCCTTGGCTGTCTTCCTTGTCCTCCTGCCGTCCCTCTGTGTCCCAGCCCTGCCTGGGGTCTGCAGTGTCCCTCCCTGTCCCGGGTCGCATGTCCCTTGCCATGTCGTACCAGTGCAGGCAGGGGTGGCACGCGGGGCTTTCCGGGAGCCATTGGGCCAAATCCTCGGCTGGTTCAAATCCCCAGGGAGAGCAGGGGGCTGGTGCCGATTCCTGCCAGCTGCTGGGGTGGGGGCTCGGGGAGTGCATGGCAGGGGCGCAGGACAGCCGCTGGCCAGCTGTGCACGACCCCAGGTCCCCATCAGCCTTGGAGGGAGGCCGTGGGAAGCCATGAGCTGGCTCTCGGGCCTGGGAAGAGAAGCCAGAGGGCTCTTGGCAAGGGGTGGGCACGGTGTTTGCAAGGGGCAGAGCTCCCTGAGCCCCTGGTCTGAGCCCCTGGGGCGTGCAATAGGGCTGACTCATTGCTGCTGCTCTGGGGACAGGAGGTAGGGCCTGTCCGGTCCTATCCCCGCCACGTCATGGTCCCCCGTGCACAGCGCTGGCCCCCGTCAGAGGCTTTGAGACATGACGTGGCCTTGGCATCACTCACGCAGACCCCCACATCGCTCAAGCAAGTGATGCTACTTGGTTCTCCCCCCCAGCTCAGCCCAGTATGAGCCTTTACCCTGAGGTCTAGGAGCCTGCCGTGCTGGGCACTGTACATGGGCAGAGCCTGAATGGATGCAGGGGAGAGTCCTGAGACCTCAACTGCAGGCAGGGAAACTGAGGCACAGAAGCGTGATGTGCATGAAGTCTGCCGGGGACCCCGGCTAGTGGGACCTGCCAGCTTGGGTCTGCTCTGGCTCTCTCTGCTTCTGGACTCTCAGGCAGGACTGAGTCGGGGAGGATAGGTGATGAGAGGCATGGGTCTCTGTCCCCCACCCCTCTTCATGGCTGCGGCTAGCAGGAGCCCCTTGCCCTATTCTTTTCCTCCCCTTTGCCGTGCAAGGAGAGGGGAAGGAAAACTTGGCGGGAGCTGAGCCAGCCCTGCGGAGGGAAGGATGGGTGCAGCTGGGAGTGGGAGCAAGCGATTCCCATGCAGGCTGCTCTGGCATCTACCCCCAGCTGAGTCTAGGGGCTTGCAAAAGGCTGCCACCAGGTCCTGCCACCCTGCTCGAGTCCCTGCCACCAGGCTTCAAAGCCGTCGCGGGCTCTTATCTTCTCTTGCAAGCTGCAGGCGAGGGGGCCGCAGCAGGGCTTGGCTACAGATTGGAGGGGCCCCCAGGCCTGCTCTGGGCACTGGGCTGCCTATAGTGTATGCCCCTGGGTCTGTTTGCACCTGCTTTGGCTGTGACGTGAGATGCAGCCGGTTGCAGGACAGCAAGGGAAGAGGCTGGAGGCCTGCATGTGGGGCTCTGTGAGCTGCAGACAGTGCCAGAGCCACAGATCCAGATCCGAGGGGGCTTGGTGGCAAACGTGCCCCATTGCCTGCATCTGCAGCTGCCCAGCAGCTTGTGCTTGCGTCCGAGCTGAGGCTAGGCTTAGCTGTGCCATGCCTGAGGTCACGTAGCAGGTCGGTAGCAGAGAAAGGTCCCTAGTCTCAAAGCTTGAAACTGTGCTCCAGCCAGCACTGCTGCCAGGCATCACTTTCCCCTGGGCATTGGACATGCACCAAGCTCCTTGCCCCAGTTGTCTCTGGCATCAGTCAGGGCAGTAAGTAGCTCAGGTGTCCTGGCCTCTGGAAGGGGAGCATGTCTCTGTGCCCCCAGCCTGACTCCCCACTGCCCAGCCCGCGTGCAATCACTGTTTGGAGCCCAGCTCGGCCCGCGCCCGGGCTGTGCTGGTTGCCATCTGCGGCCCCGTCATCCTTCTTCCTCCCTGCCCGACTGGGCCGAGCCCCGATGCAATTACCAGCTGACACCCCCATGCATCACAGCCTAATTGATATGTGTTAGCAGCCTGGGCAGACAGGCCTTAATCTAATCGGGCCGAGCAGGGCTGGCGCGGCGAAGGCAGAGCTGCATGCCTGTCTGCTGTGGGTGCTCAGGTGGCGTGGAGGCCCCCGCCGCGCCTGGGACTGGATGGCGTGTGAGGATCCCGAGGTGGTGGGTCTGGAGGGGGCAGCTCCCAGAGGCTTTGCACAGGCTCTGCTGGTCCCATCTGCGGTGCCAGGGCTGCCTCGGGCTGTGCACATGTGCTGTCGTCCCTGCCCTAGCTCCTTATCCTCTGACTTTTGCCTCCTTGCCAGTCCCTGGGGTGGGCATCTGGGGGTCCCGAGCATGCTCAGATCCCAGGTACTGGTGCAAAGTATGCCCTGAAGCCCCCCCTGCTTCTGCTGGGTGACGGTGCGTCCAGGAGCTGACTTCTCCTTGCTTTTGGGAGTGCAATGGGCTCTGCCTCCTGGCTGTCCCCGAACCGCAGTAAGGAACCCAGGTGTCCTAAATGCCATTTCCACCCCCAAGGGCTACCTGAATTGGTTTCCAGCAGATGGTTTTCAGGCTGAGACCGATGGCAGGCTGGCGGGGGAGGTGGGGCATTAGCCGCAGGGTCTTCAGGGCTAGTAAGGTGAAGCATTGTGGCTCATGGCCTAGTAGAGATCGGGACTGAGCCGTGCACCCCCAGCAGCAAGACCGCCGTCCCCATGGGTCCCTGCAGTGACTGACACCGACCCGTGTTAGCATGCCCGGCCCCCGGCTCCCTTCCCCCGTGTTTTACAACTGTGTTTCCTTAACAGATCTAATTGCATTAGCGAGGCAGCCGCCTCGGTAATTAGAGGCTCTGCCTGGGATGCATCGCAGAAGAGCCATTTGTCTTTGGGATGCGGTGCGTGCACGTCTGTGTGCAGGGGTGTGTGTGTGAGGATGGTCTCAGGGGGTCTTTTCTGAGTTGCATCCTTGGGGGGAGAGGCGCATCCCTGGCTGAGAGAGCAGTGGGCTGTGAATCAGACCTCTTGGGTTTGGGAGGTCGGAGCAAGGGGGCTGGGATTTCTCCCCACACTCCCCATAGGACTGTGGCTGTGGGTGGGATCAGGATGGCTGGGTCTGTCTCTCTGGGACATAGAGACCCTCTTCTGGGGTACAGGGCGGCAGTGCCCCGTGGGTGGGCAGGCAATGAAGTTATCCGTGGGCACGTGCCCACCCTGCTTTACAGCTCCGGTTGGCCAGCTTTTCTCCCCAGGGTCTCCCCGACCAGCACGCTGTGCCTGGCTGGCACGCTGCACCCAGTGCACCCCTGGGGACAGGCTCAAGCAGGCGGCAAGGGGAAACTGAGGCACCTAGTGGGGGTCCATGATCTGCCCCAGGCCTCACCCTGCAGGGTGGGGGCCGATCTGGGAGCAGAACCCAGGTGTCCTGAGTCCCCGTAAGGACATCAGCAGTGCCAGACTGAGTCACGCCGGGTCCGTCTAGCTTGGTGTTGCACCTCCAATAGTAGCAGGCATGGATGTTTTGCAGGGAGATATCTCCAGAGGGGTCTGTCCCCTATGCACCACCCTCCCTGACATCCACCATCTGTTGGGTTAGAGATACCCAATGCTTCTGTTCAATAGCCATGAGCAGATCGATCCCCCATGAAAGTATCCGGTTCCTTGCTGATCCTGGATCAGCTATCCGCCTTCACCCTGTCCTGTGGCAGTGAGTTCCACAAGTTAACAACATGTCGCATAAAAAAAAGGGTCCTTTTCCTTGTTCATTTTGAACCTTTTAATATTCTAGGACTTGGCGAGCAGCAGGTCTCCGTTCACTTGCTCTATACCCTTCGTGACCATATAGACCTCTGTGCTGTCCCCCGTCCGCCTCCTCTTCTCCATACTGAAGAGTCAAGCCCTTCAAGTCCCTCATTTTTGCTGCCCTTCTCTGTCCCTTCTACTACATATTTCTGGAGACGTGCTGACTCCCCTAGCCGGTGCTTCCCACTCTCCGAGGAACGGTGGAACGGGATCTACCCCCAACCCAGCCATGGGCCTGATTCTGCCCTGCCGCTGCATACGGCCCCGATCCAGCCAGAGACCCACGTGCCACTGGCTTGGAGGAGACCGAGTCTGCATTGCTGCGGACAGAGGAGCCGGGGGCTCAGATCCTTGTACTGGGATGGCCACCTACCTTGCACGGCAGGGTGCCCGTTGGAGGCAGGCCAGCGCCACGGCCAGTCCCGGCCGCACTGTGTGGGGCTGTGCTGTGCTCTGCTATCCTGGCATTCCCCGCTGCAGCAATGCCCTCCCTGCCAGCCCTGCCTGTGCCCTGCAGGTGGTACACCCCCGCCTCCCCACCATGCCTCAGTTTCCCCATGGGGCCGGCCTGGATCCTTCTCCCCACGCTGTATTTTGTGCAGAGCTTGGAGCGTCCAGGGCGGCGGGCACAGACTTCCCAGGGAGTCATTTGTCTCCGCGTCAGCATCGTTTCCTCCCGGTGACACAAACACATTAGCAGGGTAATAAAGGGGAGGAAAGGGCCGGGGACCGCGGCCGCACACAATGCCGCGCTTGGACGCGGGACAGAGGCAGCGCTGCAGGCACGCCCGGCTTCCTCCCCCACCCCCTGCCGGCCGCAGGGCCCCCATCCGCCCAGCCGGGGTGAATGGCCTGGGGTTGGGGGACCTGGACCCAGGTCGCCACTCCCTGCCTCAGTTTCCCCACTTTGTCCAGAGGCAGCTGCCATCCTTCTTGGGCCCTGTCAGGCAGGGAGTGGTTTGTACAGCACCATGCACGCCGGGGCCTTGATCTCCAGGGGCTGCCAGGCATGGGTTTGCGGTGCTTTCTGCCAGGCTGTTTGCAGGCAGGGCTGAGAGCCCAGCGGTGCTGGGCTGGACCCCCAAACCCCTTGGAAAGGGCCGAGCTTGCAGCATCTTCTCCCTGATGGACTCACCGCAGCCGAGTCCGCGATCAGACCGTGGCACGTGGCCTTCCAGGAGCCCAGGCTGTGCAAGGGGGGAAGC